ATAGAAAACAGCTAGTGGCATCGAAGACGGCTCTGGGATGGGTACTCCACGGCACAGACTCGCGCACTATCGGTCACCGGGTTCATTTCGTGAACCACCTCACCGAAGAAACAGAAGATTCGAAAATGGATGAACTACTTCGTCATCACTTCGCATTGGAATCGATCGACATCGAAAAGAAGAAACCGCATTCCGATCCAGAGGAGAAAGCCATCAAGATGCTAGAAGAACACACCCACAGAAAAGAAGATGGAAAATTTGAAACCGCGCTACTTTGGAAGAAAGAGGACATCAAGATGCCCAACAATTATGAAAATGCGTACAGACGGCTGCTCACCACAGAGAAGAAAATCGACCGCGATCCACGCCTAAGGGGAAAATACATAGAACAAATGGACGCGCTCATCGAAAAGGGATACGCCGAGCGAGCACCGCCCACATCAACAGAAGACAGAACTTGGTACCTGCCGCATTTTCCAGTCATCAACCCGTTGAAGCCAAACAAGTTACGCATCGTACACGACGCAGCTGCGAAGACCGGAGGCACCTCACTCAACGACTGCCTTCTCACCGGGCCAGACCTACTTCGATCGTTGATAGAGGAGTCATGATGCGATTCCGTCAACACCAGTACGCCGTGACAGCCGACATCGCCGAAATGTTCATGCGCGTGGGGATCCGACCGGAAGACAGAGATGCACTGCGGTACCTATGGCGCGGCGAAAGAAGAGAGGGACCACCGGAAGAATACAGAATGAAGTCACTCATCTTCGGCGCTACGTGTTCACCAGCCGCCGCTATTTTCGTCAAGAACAAGAACGCCGAGCGATATCAAGAAACGCAACCGACCGCCGTCAACGCCATAGTACAAGCGCACTACATGGATGACTACCTAGACAGCTTTACAACGGAACAAGAAGCCATAGAAGTGTCGACGCAAGTAAGAAAAATACACGCCGACGGAAATTTCGACTTACGCAACTGGGTGTCGAACTCGCATCGAATAAGGCAAGCACTCACCGAGGGACCGCTACGCGTTCAACAACCAATAACACTCAACGACGGATCAAGAATAGAAAAAGTACTCGGACTCATGTGGAATCCGCAATCGGACGAATTGGGGTTCAATCTCGAGTTGGCGCGCATCCCATCGGACCTACTTGCAAACAAGGCACCCACGAAGAGAGAAGTTTTGAAGATTGTGATGTCAATCTACGATCCAATGGGACTTGCATCACCAGTCACAGTCAGGGGAAAGCAGATCATACAAGAAATTTGGCGACGCGGCACAGAATGGGACAAGAAAATCGACACCGACCTCGCAGAGCAGTGGACGACCTGGCTACAACACATGAAGGACCTACGAGGCGTCAAAGTACCACGAGCCTACATAGGATACAGCGAAGCCACTTCACTTCAGCTGCACATCTTCGTGGACGCCAGCGCCACCACGTACGCCGCCGCACTCTACTGGCGGGCCGAGCCACCGGGAGGTCAAGTCGACGTGTCACTCATCACGGCGAAAGCACGCGTGGCTCCACTCAAAGTCACGTCGATACCGCGCCTCGAGCTACAAGCCGCAGTCCTGGGAGCGAGAATGGCCGCCACCGTGATAGAAGAGCACTCAAGAAAACCAGAATCGAAGACATTTTGGACAGACAGCAAAACAGTATTGTCTTGGGTGCGAACGGGATCGCGCTCATTCAAGCCATTCGTCGCGCATCGCATAGCCGCCATCGAAAAACTCAGCACCATCAACGAGTGGCGATGGGTGCCCACGAAGCTCAACACAGCAGACGACGCCACAAGAATATCACCGCACGATTTCTACGGCTACCACAGATGGTTCACCGGGCCTCCGTTTCTACGAAACAAACAAGAAGAATGGCCCGCCGAAACCGCAACCGCAACCGAAGTCACCGGGGAAGAACGCGTGCACCACATAAGCACGAAGAAAGCGCCGTCAATATCCGAAGCTGCACCGGACGTCACTCGATTTTCGCGCTGGGACAAGTTAATTCGGACTACGGCAAGAGTACTACGGTTCATCGACCTCTGCCAAGCGAAAACATTCAGCGACAGGCGCTCCTACCATAAGGAACAGGAAGAAACAATCAAGCGGTTCACTCTGGACCTGAAGCCTCCTCTCACCGGCCATCCATTATCAGCGCCCACCGATTTCTTCAATACCGAACACCAGGGGTTTTATTCGCCGAAACTACAGTCCACTACAGTCAAGACTCCTGCGTGTAACTTCCTCCACCCCTCAGTACGAGTCGGTAACTGTCCGCTACTGCGACAGCCCGGCGTGCCGTACATCTGCGACAGCCCGGCGTGCCGTACACATGTAATGACGACCTCCGTTGCCGAGTGGTTTATACGCCGGGTTTCATGGTGGCGCCGACTGGGGAGGTTTCGGTTTCGATTTCGAATCGCGATAGAGGTCGAGCAATGCGGCTCATTCTAAAATGAGCCTTATGCAGTGCGTCGTAAGGGAGAAAGTGCAACGACATCTACACTTATTTACAAGTTATGCGCGTTACCTGCGTAGGTATAAGTAGGTACTTCGTACTCGCGGGTGCTAGCTAATTCTCAATTTAACAGGTACTTTCTAGAATGCGTCGATCGGCGTATATAAGCGCGATTGGCGCCGCGCAGAGACAGTTGAGTTTCAACAGCGATTTCGGAGCGAATCCAAAGGCGATCAAAGTGTAACAAAAGTATTCAAGTGCGATTGTTTAGAGACTTATATAGTGAAATACAGTGTTTAGTGAGTGTTTTGTAATTAACATTGTGTGTTAATTGTGTGAACTGAGTGGTGAATAAAGAACTGTCAAGCGTGAACTGGCATATAATTTCGAACCCCATCCCGACACGTAACAATATATTTCTGTATAAATATACTTATTGTACAGTATATGTATTCTATCCGTTACCCTAGTACCCCATAACACAAGCCTTACAGTGCTTACTTTGGGGCTAGGCTAATTTGTGTGAGTGTTGGAAATGTTTATTTATTTATTTAGTTTCGCTTTACATTTATAACTAACTGGGGCCGCCCGACTTGGTCCGCGTTACATTTAGTCTATTGAGGATCCCTCTGGAACCTTATATTTTTTCGGGAAAAAAGGTGCTCCATACAAACTTTCAAACCATTTACACTTTTAGGGGCTGAGTTTTGGAAAATCCTTTCTTAGAGCATGGGTACATCATAATGGCTATATCTGTGGAAAGTTTAGTGCTTTGAGCTGTACCTTAATAGATCAGTCCACCAGTAACGGTTGCCTTATATACATATTGATCAGGCATAGTATTTCTTATTATGTGGGTAAACTGAAAATCCACGACTCAACGGTAACGGGCGCTGCTGTCACCGCCGCATTACCTCTCACGGCGGCGCGAGCGCACACAAGAGTTGCTTGACTATATTTCGGAATATCGGTTTTCGGTGGATTATCATTAATAGTTATAAGTGAACTGCTTAAGTTGTCTCGAATATCAAATATTTGTATTGGTGGAACAGCTGTATTTGAAATTGGTGCACAATAAGGACTCTGAGTGGGTGACCACGTGGACACGTAACGCTTCCAGCACGAGCTCATACTGGCGATGTCAAGGTGAGTGGTTTACTTCATAGTGGGGAATCCTGTGCCTGAATTTTACCAATAGAAGCGATAGGATCAGCGACCAAACCAACGTGTTCTCGTGGGCTATCGAAGGTGTTCTCGCGAACACATATAGAGAAAATTTAGGGTAAAACTGTACTTCCAGGGCCCAAAAGGTGATACTTGTTTTTTTTTTGTAGAAAAGGTCTTTTTAACAGTTTTTTTTTCTGGCGCTTCGCCGGCCGCTGCCGCGGCACGCTCGCTTTGCTCGCTCGGCTCGCGCGTTATGGTCACAACACTAACCTAACGTATCACCACTTGATAAGAAAAGTAAAAAAATTCAATATTTTTTTTTAAAAAACTACCAGTGCATAAGTGTGACATTTTTTTTAATAATGTGGTTAACAGAAACCTTTTTAACAACAAAAATGCGAAATTACAATCAACAAAACTGTGAAGTTTTTATCTTTGGGCCCTGGAAGTACAGTATATCCAAATTTAGTTCACTTTTTGCTGCTTTAACCAGTGAAAGAAAAACCGAAATTTAATACATAATGTTATACGTATTCTACTGACGAATTTGATGGTGCAGTGTTTTTTTCAATGAATATCAGTTGTCTGTTTGTCTTAAAGGATTTGGGTACTTCTGCTAATGAAATCTTGATTCGTATCACTAAACTCGCAAGTCAATAAAAATCAAAGTCTTAAATTATACCAGATACTAAATAATTTGTCGGTAAGGACATCATAAATTCCATGCGTTAATAAAATAAAAGTTTGGCTTTCTATAATAACTGTAGGCTATTTAGTTTACAATAATTTTAAGCAGACTGAACTGTGTAGTTACTAATTACTTATTTAACAAAAAACAAACTACGTAATTTTTTTATTTAATATTTTTGATGTGTAACATCTTTCCTCTCGCTTTCGTGCAATTTGTGGGAGTGATAACGTGAAGTATGTAACAGGAAGTTTGGAAAGCGCGCGCTATTTGATTTGATTTTAGAACATAATGTTGAAATAAATAAAACCTACTACAAAAGGAATACGCCATTCCTTTTGTAGTAGTTTTTTTTTTTTTTTTACTAATATAAGGTGAGGTTTCAAATGTTCCATATCATACGCGACTACTGTAAGGCTCCCTATTTTTTTTATAAGCAAATAAACATTTTTATATTTAAAGAAAAAATTAACGAAAAGCATCTTCTGTTACATTCCATAATTATGTCAATATTCATTAATCCAATATTCAAAGTTCGGTGTTTCTTACGAAATAAAAACATCCCATTCTGTGCATAAAATCAGTGCGGCACACCATAAGGGTTGTCGACCCGACAGTGTAATTAATGGCTTTAACATTAAGTAAATGTGGACATTAACTGAAACTTAACTTACCTCCGTACCCTCACCGGCGTCGTGTGAAGACTTAAGGATTAAACCTGTAAAAGATACAAACGCCATTAAAGTTTATGTTTAAACTAAACGTAACGAGATCGGGTGTGACTAGTGCCAGCAACGTTTTATACGTGTTTTAGGGCGCAATAAATTGAACATTGAAACTATGTGTGTGCGAAATTGAGTGTTCAAAAAACAGATTTCTCTCGTGTATCGTTTTGTGTGCGACAATAAAATGAAAATAAAGGATAGATGAAACAAGTTTCAACGGCAAAAATACAATTTATTTATTTGTTGACGTTCCGCATCCTTTCCTTTGACGACCTCCGTGGCTGAGTGGTTTGTACGCCAGGTTTCATGGCTGTCGCCGACTCGAGAGGTCTCGGGTTCGAATCCCGGTGGGGGCAGATGTTTGTGTGATGAATACGAGCATTTGTACTCCAGTCATGGGTGTTTAATATGTATTTATATAAATATACTCATATATGTACAGTATATGTATTCTATCCGTTACCCTAGCATCCCATAAGACAAGCCTTATAGCGTTTACTTTGGGGCTAGGCTAATTGGTGTGAGTGTCGGAAATATTTACTTATTTTATTTATTTATTTATTTCCAGAATACGTCGTCTGAATTATGATTTTATTTAAAAAACCAACTTTTTACAAATTAAAATCATAATTCAAAAGACACATTCTGAAAAGGATGCGAAAACGTCACTAAATAAATGAATCAGTGCATCTATACCGTTGAGACTTGATTTATATAATGAGTTGTGTGCGTGTAAATTTAATAAACAAATAAAGGATAGGTATGGCAGAAACAGAGCAACTCGATGGCGCAAGTAGGTAATGCGTTCGGCTGAGATAGTTGACGTTAAGCAACTTTATCAGTGGTTGATCATTGGATGGGTGACCATTATTTAACTATCTCGAGCTCCTCCGCGTTTCGGAAGGCACGTTAAGCCGTTGTTCCCGTCTGCATCTGCATTTGTTAGCACCCGCCAATCCCCACTGAGCCTGCGTGATGGGTTATGGGCCAATCTCCCTATTCCATCCACACCATCCACACAAAGGCCTGTGCCCCAGTAGTGGGGACATTAGTAGGTTGATGATGATAATAATAGCAGAAAGTGGTTATTAAATCCAAAACTGCCAATTACTTGCTACGAATTTAAAGCTTTCGCTTATTAATTCAATAATGAAATACTAATACATGTGTCGCCCTATTCGACAAATATACGTAATAATATAGCACCACGTATCGGGTCCAGATATAAACCTAAAATATCCAGTAATCTTCTCGAATGAACACATGAACTTAAATCGAAGTCGATTCTGTTATTTGCGGAACGAAGAATTGGTATCAGTCTCTGGAAAATGTGTTTTATGATGACGTATTAATGTTAACAGCTTTACTCCAAGAAGTCAATTAATTTTTAAGTGTAATGAAAGTGGACAATGTCGCTTTACACTCCTTAAAAATATATATTTCCCACACTCAAACCATTTAGCCAGAGCCTAGCCCCAAAGTAAGCACGGCACTTCGTTCGTAGCGGGAAATCCGCTGTGCTCTACCCATCTTAACACGTTGATGAATTCCTGTTCAAAGTTTTTTTCATCATCATCATTACCAGCCTGTAAGTGTCCCTACAGTAATAATATAATAAAAATTATATTTATATCATCATACTCAACGATCTCTGAACAATTATGGGTAATTGTGGGTAATGGATTCCGTTTTCACCCTTTGGATACGGAACCCAATTAGTGTTTTTTACTGTTATCTTCTCCAAAATGGAGGTTACATCCCCAGACAGACGCTCAAATTTGCTACGCCCTACCAGTCTTGCTGGGGTACAGGCCTTTCTTAAAGATAGAACAGGCAGAACGGGCCATGATTAACCACTGATACTGACTACTTAAAGCAGTTGCACCACCATCGGCGAAAAAGCTACTAAATCGCTCAAGAAACATTTCGTGAAAACAAAAAAAAGGAGAGATGCTTAAAATAGACAGTTGATCGCTGACTGTTCACACTGCCGGCGAGAACTTGCTCCACTAGTTTTCAGTGAGCTATCAAAGACATAGCTCAGCGTAGCTCCCCTGGCCGTCAAAACGTTTTTTTTTTGTTTGAGTGTGTATGCTGTTGGACGCAGATGACTTTTACAGCGTCACCGGGTATGGGGAGGACGCGAGATCCTAAGGGGACCTCAAGCCGAGAATTGGCGAGTGCCTCTAGAGATATTCCATGCGGATGGCATCTCCCCACGGGGGGAGTTTCGTCTCTGTCTGAAGCCTCTAGACCACTCGAACCTGAGAGGGATGTCAAAACGCGTGCGCGTGTATTTTAACTCAAGACTGTCACCGCTTGCGAGGGCGCACGCTTAGATTAAAACAAAAAGGGTAGATACGGCACTAGCCTCACAAAAGTGATCCGCACAAATTGTGGTCCACGACCCTAATCGCTTTAGTCACAACTTGACATGCAAACGACGTACATGTAAACGCCAAAAAGAAATATTGATAATATTTTGTGTTTATATGGTAAAACAATGCCTAAGTATGTTTTTAAAAAGTGATCAAATTGCTCAAGAACTAAAAATAAAACCCACGGCATTACTTTTCATTCGTAAGTACTATAAAATATATTTTTTCATAAAAATTGCTGTTTGTTTTGAATCTTATTCGGTAGTGACGTCGAGTACTGGTCGCGTGATTGGTCGGTAGTGCAGTGACGCGGATCTCGCCGTCTCGTTCGCGCTGCCATTGAAACTTAACGTGCTGTTTCGCTCGGGTCGGTAATGCAGTGACGCGGATCTCGCCGTCCCGTTCGCGCTGCCGTGGGATCAGTTTTTGTTTGATGCAAGTATGAGCGTACCGTATCTACCCTTTTTGTTTTAATGTAAGGGCGCAAGTAATCGCCCGTCCTACTCGGACACTAGTTTATAACCCAGCGATAGAGCTATCGGAATTAAACACTAGTTTCTATCTCTACGCGCTTCCGCTCATAGTCAGCGGTGGGACAACTGCCTATTGGTGATGCTAACGACTGCAAATGCAGCGGGAGGCTTTCAAGGTAATTAATACAATACAATACAATACAATACAATACAAAACACTTTATTGTACACCACAGAAAACATTACATTTAGTACAAAACCAATTAAAACAAGTTTGATAATGGGCGACCTTATCGCTTAGAACGATCTCTTCTAGACAACCTTTAGTTGGAGAGGACTGGAAGGAAGTGGGCGAGACGGCGGCGTAAATCAATTGAGTGATATAGGTATTAATATATGGTCTCTCCTCTTACGACTCATTGCGACCTTTGTACGTAACCCATCATTATAGATGTACGCACAAACCGCTATATTATCAAAGTTTCTCCTATCTATTTTTTTTGTAAAATAATAAAGTTAAAAAAAATGCTACTTCAACGTCCAGCCAAATTACATCTATTCCACCTCAATTTCCTTTTCAATTTCACCCGGTCTCTTAAATTCGTTATAAGTCTTATAATCGCTTATCGTGTTACGTAACTGCAGACACCCGTAATGATCTTGGAGAGAGATTTTTTCTCGACAAATATAGGTCTGTTGGCTGGGTCCAGGGGACTGACGTGACAGCTGCCATGATTACTTTGCATAAAGTTAAAGTGAAGCCTTATTTTTTCTGCCCCAGTTGAAAATAGTTGTAATATTTCGTAATGTCAATTACTGTAATGGGTTCAAGATGAGGATTTAAAATCGTTAGTCGTGTGACTCTGGGAAATAAGTAAGGCGCGATATGTAGGAAATATTTTCAATTAGCAACCGTCCGCAACTTCGTCATTAACTTTAATATTTTTAACAACGGAAACCATTTTTTTTTCCAGTATAATAGCGTATTAAATTTCAGTGAAATCCGTTCTGTAGTTTTTGCTTGATTGAGTAACAAACACAGAAAGATGAAAACTTACACATTTATTTTCGTATTTATTTGACGACCTCGACCGTGGCCGAGTGGTTTGTACGCCGGGTTTCATGGTGTCGCCGACTCAAGGGTTCGAATCCCGGTGAGGGCAGATGTTTGTGTGATGAATACGAGCATTTCGTACTCGAGTCATGGATCTTTAATATGTATTTCTATATTACTTCGTACTTATATATGTTTTCTATCCGTTACCCTAGTATCCCATAACACAAGCATTAAAGTGCTTACTTTGGGGCTAGGCTAAAGTGTTGAAAATATTTATTTACTATTACATTATAAATAGAATTAATATCGACAACTTGGAACCAACCTGTGCTAAATGGAGCATCGTTAAGGACGTATAAAGCGATGATAAGTTTAACGGTGGGCGTGCGTACTTAGGCATGGAAGACAGAAGCTTCAATAATGTTATATTATAATTAAAGAGCTCGTAGGCGTACGTTACGTAGACAGATTATATAATTGGATAATTGAATTTTGAATTACAAGTAAGTAACATAAAAAATGGAGGAACCCAATGGTGCAGGTGGTTAGCGCATTCTGCTTGCGATCGTGAAAGTTAAGCAACATTCGCAATGGTCGGCCATTGGATGGGTGACCAAAAACTTATTATCTGGAACTCCACCGTGCTTTGGAAGGTCCGTTAAGCCGTTGCTCCCGGCTGCATCTGCAGGCGTTAGCACCCACCAAACTACACTGGGCCCGCGTGCTGGGTCACGGCCCAGTTTCCCTGTGCTATCCATAAGAAAGGCCTGTGCCCCAGCGGTAGGGACATAAATATATAAAACGAGCAATAATAATAACTTTATTTTCCTACACAATCTTATACATGCTTCATAGGTAACAAATTATAAAACTTAGGACTAAGATTGTGAGACACTGGTGACCAAACTAACGACGACGCCTGTGTCTCAGTGCACCAGCCTCTCCCCGGTATAAGAAAGTATCAAGCAAGCAATATTGTCCATGATAAATTTATAACCCATTCTCTGTGTTTTTTTATTTAGAAAAGAGTTTGAAACCGAATACGTAGGTCCAGTACGGATTAATATATTCTGGACTTTAAGAAC